AAAAAAAGTTTAAAGAGTTGACAAGTCTATGTTACGCTGTCACTGGTATTCTTATTAGCTTAATAATGTGTTTGATTAATTAAAAATTTAAAATGATGTTTTTTAATTTTTAATTAATCAAACACATTAGTAAGCTAAAAAATTTAATTTCTTTGGCTATGGAACATGACATGTATTTAAGTGTATGTATACATGACATTTTTTTTTTAATGATCTTTTTGAAACATGTTTTGTTGTTTTTATTAGAAGCTGCTTTAAAGTCAAATAAAAACTTAATCAAAATGGATACCTTCCAACTTATTGGAAAAGTAATTAGGCATTCTTCTAACCGAATAAAGAGAACATCCACTAATTTGGATTTCGATCAATGATGGCTCAACTGTTGTATTTTATTTATTTTTTTTCCATTTTTAAGCAATTTTCTTGTATTTATAATGCACAATCGATTATATTCTACTGTACCTATTAGTTTTTAATTTGAAAAGGTAACTTTGTTTGAAAAATTATTCTTATTTTTTGTAAAGTTATTAATTTATTTTAAATATATCAAATTACACTTTATTTACATTGATTTCTTTTTATAACTTCCCTTGCCTAGATTAAGGCAAATCTAAGGTTTGTGTTGTAAATCATTGCATTTTTATATATTTTTTAAATGAATGTCTTGGTAAAATTTAAACGTCTCTTGGACGTCTGAAAATGACGTCCTTAAGTCTTTAAAATTAGACCAGCCAGAGATGTCTCTAGAACGTCAAAAAACGTCTCTAGGACGACTTAAAAAGACGTCTTTAGGACATCTGGAATAGACGTCCTCAAGCCTTTCATTTGAGACCAACTAAGGATGTCTTACGGACGAGACTTAAGACGTCTTACGGACGTTCCTAGGACGTCAAAATGCCCGCTGGGTTTCGAACGAGATTACAATATAAAAATGATTAAAACTTCTGCATTCAAAAACAAAGGGAGGTCCGAAAAAATGTAAAAACGGATAGAATCAAAGCTGAAATCCTTTTTAAAGTTGTTTTTATTGATAATGACCAGCCACTAGGTCTTGAGTTGTATTTTTTACCAGACTATTGGTTAATTTTTGATATTCTAAGTCATAAATTGAAAAAATACCTACAGATGAGACTTCCTCCTACATTTTGGATGCAATGAATTTCAAAGCTTTTAAAATCTTTCGAAGTTGCTAACAACCAGGGCTGTGGAGTCGGAGTCGGAGTTGCGGAGTTGCGACAATTTAAGCGGAGTCGGAGTCGCTAAAAAATATCGTGACTCCGACTCCGATAGTAAAATTTCTTGGTATTGCACGTGCATGTACAAAACATTCAATTAACCTTATGTTCATACTAAACCTCAAAGAACGTTTCGTAAATTGTCAAAAAAAAAATTTCAATTTATCTCGCAATATTTTTTAAAGAATTCAAAGAATTTTTTAAAAATTTTGCTTTGGAGTTGGAGTAGGAGTCGGAGTTGGGTCCTCTTCTTTTTTTGTTATATATCAATGATCTTCCCCAATGTATCTCTTCAATCGCAAAATTATACGCTGATGATACTAAAATCATATCTGTTATAAAAGAACATAATGATCTAACTAATATGCAAAATGACATTGATTTGTTAACTGAATGGTCAAATGAATGGTTAATGGACTTTAACATAAATAAATGCAGTGTTATGCACATTGGAAGAAAAAATATTAACTATAACTACACTATAAAGCACGACAATTAAAGTTTTTTTCTATAAACAACAACAAAAGAACTAGACTTGGGTGTAATAGTTTCATCCAATATGAAATGGAATCATCAGGTTCAAGTAGCTACAAGTAAAGCACAAAGAATCTTATGTTTAATAAGAAAAAGCTTTACTTATCTTAACACTGAAATGGTAAGGCAACTATATACATCGCTGATTAGACCACACTTGAAATTCGCAGCTCCAGTGTGGAGTCCATGTAATAAAAACAATATCAACGACCTAGAAAAAATTCAAAAACGAGCAACAAAGCTAGCCCCTGAACTAAAACATCTAAATTATACCAAAAGATTGACAAAGTTGGGCCTCACAACTCTGAAAACAAGACGTGTAAGAGGAGATCTCATTGCTTTCTTCAAATTAACAACTGGGATTGATAAGATATTGTGGTATAAAGAGCCTAATAAAGCTTCTTCCCAGAGACTTCGAGGTCATCCAATGAAATTTGAAAGAGAATTTGCAAAAACAACACCGAGACATAATTTTTTTACGAACAGAGTGATACCTCATTGGAATGCTTTACCTGAAAAAGTTTTTTCTGCAATGACAGTAAATTCTTTTAAAGCTAGGCTAGATAAACATTTGTTAACGGCTGTTAAAGTATAAATTTTAAACTTTATGCTCCACGACAACCGTCGTTACAGCAGTTTGTATTACTATGTTAATATCAAAAAGCTTAAATTTAAAAAAATTATAAAGAACTACACGTTACAGTGTTACGTCTCGTAAGGTTAAAAATGTTACTTTTTGTCACGCAAAAATGACACACATTTGATACGTAACGATTACGTAAAAGTGTTACGTCTTGATATATAAAGTACGTACGTACGTCTACATAAAGTACGTACGTACGTACATAAAGTACGTACGTACGTACGTACGTCTCGTTACATAAACATGTGACGTAACAGTTACGTAAAACTACGTCTCGTTACGTAAAAATGATACGTAACGTTGCGTATGATTAACCGAAATTTAGCACGTATTGTAACTTGGTTTCGTTACATAACGAAACTTAAAAATGTTATAGGGGATTGGCTTTCCCACATTTTTGACACTTGTTTCCTACTGCTATCATTTCCATAAGTATTTTGAAATTTATAATTAAAAAATAATTATCACTACTTCCAGAATGTTCAGCTGGTTTAATAGTAAATTTTTTTTTGGTGATATTTTTAATATTTTTATTTTTTTTATTTCGCTTGTTATCACATTTATTATTTACAATAAATACAGACTTTCTACAACGACCACCAACACCCATTCTTGATAAGTTTCTTTTGTTATTTCGAAGGTTTGCCATAATAAATTTTTATTATTTTACTAGAATCTACCTAAAATATTAAATAATTTCAACAAACACATTAGAAAACAGTAAAAAGTAAAAAAATTATTATAAAAAAGCCTGCCTGCTGTTTTCAGCATAACTTATAATTATTAAATATTTAACAACTTGGACGTGCAAGGCAACATTAGAATAGCAAAAGAGATGTACTTCTTTAAATTTTAAAGTACATTTAAAATAATAACTAAAAAAATAAAACGGGTACTATGACTGTTGCTAGGCACTAAAATTATACCTATCTGTATAAAATTGTAAATGTTGTAAAAAGCATAAACAGACTCAAAAAAAAATTTATACCACGAGAAAGTTAAATCTTACATTAGAATATCTAATTTGCCATTATTGAAAAAGTTTTGACTTTTGATTATGTAGGAACCACCTTAATAACACTTGACATCCACCAAAAGTTTAATTCATTGAACGCAGTTTTTAATTGATAGATGAATAAAATTTGTAAAAAATAAAAAATAAAATTCGTAGAAAATAAAATCAACAGATAAAAATAAAAAAATATACTTTCTAATGAATTGCTTAAAGATATCATAAAGCTATTGTAAACATGTTATTACTTATCAGCCAGTTTTTGTGTATTTAGCGAGTTTCTTACATAGAATCGGATTATATTTTACTTTTGATGACCATTTGTGTGTTTATTTTAACGCAGGAGAGCGCAGTACAGAACTTAAGCTATATAATAATGATAATAATAATAAAAACTAATTGTACAGTACGACATAATTAACGTTTTAAGGCATTTATTCAGACTTTTCAATTGAACTATCAAACAACTGCGGAAGTTAGTAAACACATGGGTTAAAGAATGAACTTATATTTTGAAGTATGAAATTTTGTCAGTATCTCTATAATTTTGAAAACATTTTGAAAAAGTTTAATATCTTGTTTTCTCATTTAAAAAATTTATTTTTCATTTAAATTATTATTTATTCATTAATAAAAAATCTTTACTTTTAAGTTCAAAGATTTTTAAATACACAATTAGTATTTTAAACTTTTCATAAATTTTTCATTCTACGTCAAAAATCAGACAATTTCTTACTATTTTCTTATTCGTATACTATATTATATGTCATTTATTATGCTATATTATATTATATCTTTTTATAAATTATACTATATATACTTTTATTTTTACTTACGTGTTTTCTTCGCGACGGGTTTCTTCGTGACGTATTTTTTATGTGATGTGTTTTCTTAGCATAAATTTTAATGATTAAGTGAAAGATTAATGCAACTTGTGAAAACTTTTTTATGATTATGATATTTGTTGTTGATGTTTTGAATAAACTTTGCCAAAGTTTTATATTAACAAAAACCTGCTATTCAAAATGCAAGGCAACGTTGAATCCCTCAGAAATTAAACGTCATGCCTTCTATGCCCTATAAAGAGAGAGAGAGACAGACAGACAGACAGACAGAGTGTGTGTGTGTGTGTGTGTGTGTGTGTGTGTGTGTGTGTGTGTGTGTGTGTGTGTGTGATTTGCTACGTTATTGCAAAGTACAATCTGTTAAAACAAAGGAGTTAATACGATTGCATTTAAATAATTAGATGTTGCAATTCTGTTAAAAAAAAGGAGTTAAAATTTTTAAAAAGCACTCTATTAAAACTAAGGAGAAATTAAAAAAGACTTTAATATAACTAATTATATTTTTTAATAAGACTTTTTAATAACAGTTATATAACAAAGTATTTCTTTTATATGAGAATATAGGGATTATTTTATTCTGATATTCTATATTAATACAAATTTGTGCTTAACTTTATAAAGGTAGCAATAATTAACACATATCTAATACAAAGACCATGATTAGGAAACCTATATTGCTCAATTTGTAAGCAAGTTTTAAAAACGCTTTAACTAAACACTGAAAACCAATCAAACGTTTATAATATTGTAATTTAGTATACATATTTTCAATTACAATCTTTTATAAAAATATACTTTTAATATAGCCACTATATTCAACGTAGTTATATAAAACACACATGGACATGGAGTTACACATATACATACACATGTACACACACAAAATACATTTATAATAAAGGTTTAAAATAAATCAATGCTAAAACTGGGCTTTGGTTTGTAAAAAAAATGTTATTGTTGTTACTGCTGCTATTTGTATATATGTTCGCACTTTAATTCCATCAACCAATTTTCAACTTATAAAGATAAAATAGCATAAAAACTGATAAAGCTAAATTGAAACCTAAATGAAATACGTAATGTAAAATTAAATTAAAAACTTAATTTTACTGATAACCCCATAAGAAACTTTTTTTACTAATCCTTTGTTAATAAATTTTTAATAGAAACTTTGTTATTTTGTTTTATTTCTGATATCATTAAAAAATTTTAATGCAACAAGGAATTAGTATCTTTTATAAAAACAAGTTTATAAAAAAAATGTTAAAACTACCATTTCTGATACGTGAA